TATAAGTCTTTGTCATTGTGTTTTGTTAGTATAGTTTCTGTCTCCCTTCCTTTCGGTGTTCTTTTGGGTGTTCTATAAGTCTTTGTCATTGTGTTTTGTTAGTATAGTTTCTGTCTCCCTTCCTTTCGGTGTTCTTTTGGGTGTTCTATAAGTCTTTGTCATTGTGTTTTGTTAGTATAGTTTCTGTCTCCCTTCCTTTCGGTGTTCTTTTGGGTGTTCTATAAGTCTTTGTCATTGTGTTTTGTTAGTATAGTTTCTGTCTCCCTTCCTTTCGGTGTTCTTTTGGGTGTTCTATAAGTCTTTGTCATTGTGTTTTGTTAGTATAGTTTCTGTCTCCCTTCCTTTCGGTGTTCTTTTGGGTGTTCTATAAGTCTTTGTCATTGTGTTTTGTTAGTATAGTTTCTGTCTCCCTTCCTTTCGGTGTTCTTTTGGGTGTTCTATAAGTCTTTGTCATTGTGTTTTGTTAGTATAGTTTCTGTCTCCCTTCCTTTCGGTGTTCTTTTGGGTGTTCTATAAGTCTTTGTCATTGTGTTTTGTTAGTATAGTTTCTGTCTCCCTTCCTTTCGGTGTTCTTTTGGGTGTTCTATAAGTCTTTGTCATTGTGTTTTGTTAGTATAGTTTCTGTCTCCCTTCCTTTCGGTGTTCTTTTGGGTGTTCTATAAGTCTTTGTCATTGTGTTTTGTTAGTATAGTTTCTGTCTCCCTTCCTTTCGGTGTTCTTTTGGGTGTTCTATAAGTCTTTGTCATTGTGTTTTGTTAGTATAGTTTCTGTCTCCCTTCCTTTCGGTGTTCTTTTGGGTGTTCTATAAGTCTTTGTCATTGTGTTTTGTTAGTATAGTTTCTGTCTCCCTTCCTTTCGGTGTTCTTTTGGGTGTTCTATAAGTCTTTGTCATTGTGTTTTGTTAGTATAGTTTCTGTCTCCCTTCCTTTCGGTGTTCTTTTGGGTGTTCTATAAGTCTTTGTCATTGTGTTTTGTTAGTATAGTTTCTGTCTCCCTTCCTTTCGGTGTTCTTTTGGGTGTTCTATAAGTCTTTGTCATTGTGTTTTGTTAGTATAGTTTCTGTCTCCCTTCCTTTCGGTGTTCTTTTGGGTGTTCTATAAGTCTTTGTCATTGTGTTTTGTTAGTATAGTTTCTGTCTCCCTTCCTTTCGGTGTTCTTTTGGGTGTTCTATAAGTCTTTGTCATTGTGTTTTGTTAGTATAGTTTCTGTCTCCCTTCCTTTCGGTGTTCTTTTGGGTGTTCTATAAGTCTTTGTCATTGTGTTTTGTTAGTATAGTTTCTGTCTCCCTTCCTTTCGGTGTTCTTTTGGGTGTTCTATAAGTCTTTGTCATTGTGTTTTGTTAGTATAGTTTCTGTCTCCCTTCCTTTCGGTGTTCTTTTGGGTGTTCTATAAGTCTTTGTCATTGTGTTTTGTTAGTATAGTTTCTGTCTCCCTTCCTTTCGGTGTTCTTTTGGGTGTTCTATAAGTCTTTGTCATTGTGTTTTGTTAGTATAGTTTCTGTCTCCCTTCCTTTCGGTGTTCTTTTGGGTGTTCTATAAGTCTTTGTCATTGTGTTTTGTTAGTATAGTTTCTGTCTCCCTTCCTTTCGGTGTTCTTTTGGGTGTTCTATAAGTCTTTGTCATTGTGTTTTGTTAGTATAGTTTCTGTCTCCCTTCCTTTCGGTGTTCTTTTGGGTGTTCTATAAGTCTTTGTCATTGTGTTTTGTTAGTATAGTTTCTGTCTCCCTTCCTTTCGGTGTTCTTTTGGGTGTTCTATAAGTCTTTGTCATTGTGTTTTGTTAGTATAGTTTCTGTCTCCCTTCCTTTCGGTGTTCTTTTGGGTGTTCTATAAGTCTTTGTCATTGTGTTTTGTTAGTATAGTTTCTGTCTCCCTTCCTTTCGGTGTTCTTTTGGGTGTTCTATAAGTCTTTGTCATTGTGTTTTGTTAGTATAGTTTCTGTCTCCCTTCCTTTCGGTGTTCTTTTGGGTGTTCTATAAGTCTTTGTCATTGTGTTTTGTTAGTATAGTTTCTGTCTCCCTTCCTTTCGGTGTTCTTTTGGGTGTTCTATAAGTCTTTGTCATTGTGTTTTGTTAGTATAGTTTCTGTCTCCCTTCCTTTCGGTGTTCTTTTGGGTGTTCTATAAGTCTTTGTCATTGTGTTTTGTTAGTATAGTTTCTGTCTCCCTTCCTTTCGGTGTTCTTTTGGGTGTTCTATAAGTCTTTGTCATTGTGTTTTGTTAGTATAGTTTCTGTCTCCCTTCCTTTCGGTGTTCTTTTGGGTGTTCTATAAGTCTTTGTCATTGTGTTTTGTTAGTATAGTTTCTGTCTCCCTTCCTTTCGGTGTTCTTTTGGGTGTTCTATAAGTCTTTGTCATTGTGTTTTGTTAGTATAGTTTCTGTCTCCCTTCCTTTCGGTGTTCTTTTGGGTGTTCTATAAGTCTTTGTCATTGTGTTTTGTTAGTATAGTTTCTGTCTCCCTTCCTTTCGGTGTTCTTTTGGGTGTTCTATAAGTCTTTGTCATTGTGTTTTGTTAGTATAGTTTCTGTCTCCCTTCCTTTCGGTGTTCTTTTGGGTGTTCTATAAGTCTTTGTCATTGTGTTTTGTTAGTATAGTTTCTGTCTCCCTTCCTTTCGGTGTTCTTTTGGGTGTTCTATAAGTCTTTGTCATTGTGTTTTGTTAGTATAGTTTCTGTCTCCCTTCCTTTCGGTGTTCTTTTGGGTGTTCTATAAGTCTTTGTCATTGTGTTTTGTTAGTATAGTTTCTGTCTCCCTTCCTTTCGGTGTTCTTTTGGGTGTTCTATAAGTCTTTGTCATTGTGTTTTGTTAGTATAGTTTCTGTCTCCCTTCCTTTCGGTGTTCTTTTGGGTGTTCTATAAGTCTTTGTCATTGTGTTTTGTTAGTATAGTTTCTGTCTCCCTTCCTTTCGGTGTTCTTTTGGGTGTTCTATAAGTCTTTGTCATTGTGTTTTGTTAGTATAGTTTCTGTCTCCCTTCCTTTCGGTGTTCTTTTGGGTGTTCTATAAGTCTTTGTCATTGTGTTTTGTTAGTATAGTTTCTGTCTCCCTTCCTTTCGGTGTTCTTTTGGGTGTTCTATAAGTCTTTGTCATTGTGTTTTGTTAGTATAGTTTCTGTCTCCCTTCCTTTCGGTGTTCTTTTGGGTGTTCTATAAGTCTTTGTCATTGTGTTTTGTTAGTATAGTTTCTGTCTCCCTTCCTTTCGGTGTTCTTTTGGGTGTTCTATAAGTCTTTGTCATTGTGTTTTGTTAGTATAGTTTCTGTCTCCCTTCCTTTCGGTGTTCTTTTGGGTGTTCTATAAGTCTTTGTCATTGTGTTTTGTTAGTATAGTTTCTGTCTCCCTTCCTTTCGGTGTTCTTTTGGGTGTTCTATAAGTCTTTGTCATTGTGTTTTGTTAGTATAGTTTCTGTCTCCCTTCCTTTCGGTGTTCTTTTGGGTGTTCTATAAGTCTTTGTCATTGTGTTTTGTTAGTATAGTTTCTGTCTCCCTTCCTTTCGGTGTTCTTTTGGGTGTTCTATAAGTCTTTGTCATTGTGTTTTGTTAGTATAGTTTCTGTCTCCCTTCCTTTCGGTGTTCTTTTGGGTGTTCTATAAGTCTTTGTCATTGTGTTTTGTTAGTATAGTTTCTGTCTCCCTTCCTTTCGGTGTTCTTTTGGGTGTTCTATAAGTCTTTGTCATTGTGTTTTGTTAGTATAGTTTCTGTCTCCCTTCCTTTCGGTGTTCTTTTGGGTGTTCTATAAGTCTTTGTCATTGTGTTTTGTTAGTATAGTTTCTGTCTCCCTTCCTTTCGGTGTTCTTTTGGGTGTTCTATAAGTCTTTGCCATTGTGTTTTGTTAGTATAGTTTCTGTCTCCCTTCCTTTCGGTGTTCTTTTGGGTGTTCTGTAAGTCGTTATCTTTGTTTTTGTTTGTTTAGTCTTTGTCTCCCTTAACTTTGAGGTGGTCTATACGTTTTCCTGTGTTTCTGTCTGCATAGTCTTCGTCTCCTTTCATTATAGGTGTTCGGTACGTCTCTATCTGTATTGTCTTCGTCTCCTTTCACTATAGGTGTTCGTACGTCTCTGTCTGTATAATCTTTGTTTCCCTTCAGGTTAGGTATTCGATACGTCTCTGTCTGTATAGTCTTTGACTCCCTTAACTTTAGGTGTTCGGAACGTCTCTGTCTGTATAGTCTTTGTCTCCCTTAACTTTAGGTGTTCGGTACGCCTCTGTCTGTATAGTCTTTGTCTCCCTTAACTTTAAGTGTTCGGTACGCCTCTGTCTGTATAGTCGTTGTCTCCCTTAACTTTAGGTGTTCGGTACGTCTCTGTCTGTATAGTCTTTGTCTCTCTTCCCTTTAGGTGTTCGGTACGTCTCTGTCTGTATTGTCTTTGTCTATCTTCACTTTAGGTGTTCGGTACGTCCCTGTCTGTATTGTCTTCGTCTGCCTTCACTACAGGTGTTCGGTACGTCTCTATCTGTATTGTCTTCGTCTGCATTCACTGCAGGTCTCTATCTGTATTGTCCTCGTCTCCTTTCATTATAGGTGTTCGGTACGTCTCCATCTGTATTGTCTTTGTCTCTCTTCACTCTAGGTGTTCTTACGTCTCTGTCGGTATTGTCTTCGTCTCCTTTCACTATAGGTGTTTGGTACGTCTCTATTTATATAGTCTTTGTCTCCCTTAACTTTAGGTTTTCGGTACGCCTCTGTCTGTAAAGTCTTTGTCTCCCTTAAATTTAGGTGTTCGGTAAGCCTCTGTCTGTATAGACTTTGTCTCCCTTAACTTTAGGTGCTCGGTACGTCTCTGTCTGTATTGTCTTCGTCTGCCTTCACTCTAGGTTTTCGGTACGCCTCTGTCTGTATAGTCTTTGTCTATCTTCACTTTAGGTGTTCGGTACGCCTCTCTCTATATTCTCTTTGTCTCTCTTCCCTTTAGGTGTTCGGTACGCCTCTGTCTGTATTTTCTTTTTCTCCTTTCTCTTTCTGTGTTCGTTATGTCTCTGTCTGTATTGTCTTTGTCTCTCTTCCCTTTAGGTGTTCGGTACATTCCTGCTGATCAGCTGTATACTAGCTATAACAGACAGACGTAATATGCTGCCACAAACGGGACTACTACCACTGGCTCTGGGTTCCATTGTCTTCGCCATTGGTACTTCATTTGGCTTCAATTGTGGTTATGCTATCAACCCAGCGCGGGACCTCGGGCCGAGGATGTTCACCGCCATGGCAGGATGGGGGAAGGAACCATTCAGGTAAATACACAAACATACATGTTTTGATGTAGGTGTCTGAATATGTAACAATATTTTCCTTAGATAGTTTAAACATATTTTTATTGTCGTAAATAAAGACAATTAGGATTGAGCACAAGTTTTGCCAACTTAATAACGCCCTCTCCTTAATACATCATGTTGTATAATACATAATGGACAGCAGTGAATTAACTTTATCCGATCATATAGTAGAAACAGCGAGGGAAGGAAAGCAAGAAGAAGAAGGGTAAAAGATAGGTAGGGTCATCCCCTAAATATATGTATAATATACAAACCCATTNTAGCCAAATAAAATCGGACCACCACAAATCAACGGTCAAATGGTCACTGGTCAGCTTATGTTATAGGACACTAGGTTAACATAGTACACATAGGTGAAGTGGCCTGGCGTAGTTATAGTACACAGAGGTGAAGGTGCTCAAAATGTCAAAACCTGCCAGTACCGTCGATATAGACTTGTACCGTTCTTGCAATGTTTGAGTTTGCCTCATTATTTAAATCTATATCACCCTTTAGAATTAGGTCTAATGACATATCTCCTGGATACCATGCTAAATTCTTCAATAAGGAAAGGCGTCGGATGTGGTATTTAGGGCATGTGAAGAAGAAGTGATACGAGTCCTCGCACGTGTGTCCACATTCACATTGTGCTGAAAAAGTAAGATTAGCCCTAAAAAGATCATTATTGAGAGTACTTGCCCTGTTTCTTAATCTACAATGAAGAATATTTAGCCTACGCGGGCCAAAATTGAGAAAGCATGGATTACATTTAGTTATTACATTATTCAACTGATGTATATTTGATTTGAACGAGTTGAGAGTTTGGGAGTTACTTATGGTTGTGTCTTAATTATTCCAAAGATCAACAGTTGAAGGAAAGAAAGAGTTGCGCATATTAGTTAGATGAGTATGATATAGTTGTGTTTACTGGATACCTTTGTTGAAGGAAATAGATGTTTAGCTATGTGCTAACATCATATATTGTTCTCGTGTTAGTAAATAACATGTGTTTAATAAAAATTACATAACAGAAACATGTAATCATCAACGCTTTCTATCATTCTGTTCATCACTTAAAACCTGTCATCACGTCTTTCTTAAACTAAGAATAACACCAAAGGTACAAAGATGAAGTTGCTTATTAATTAAATATTACAAAAATGTACTTTAATGTAGCATAACAACAAAGATTGATTTAAAAACTAAAAAAAACTACTTCAAAAAAAATATGAATATAATATTATGACAGGTTGCTATTTAAAATTAAAATGTGTAGTTTTCTTTAACTCCGTTGTTTCGGACATCCGGAAAAAAAGTGCGTTAGTATGGACAATCCCTGTTAGACAAAAAAATGTCTAAGTTCACTTTTGGTAAAATACTATATAGAAATAAAAAAATACAATGTTCTAATTACCACGTTCTTCTTAATAATATTCACTTTAAAGACAGACACATATCCTTAGGTGGAGTGTCCGAGGAACCTCCTAAATAATTCTGACTGTCTATCTTTGAACATTTGATATAAGTCCATCAGTTTAGCTATACATCCTGACCAAACATTACTACAGCATGTACAGTGTTGAAATGCACAAGCACATATCATAATGCCTCATTCTGTAATTGATTTAGAGATATTGATGAATGTGGGATGCCGATTTAAAGCGCCGTCTAATTTTTGTACAAATATGTTAATGGAACGACTGCTAGACATGTACCGTTATATATACCCAAACGATGTTCTTGGTTTTCAAATATTTTGATTTATAGAGTAATCATTACGTGGTACCTAGAGTTTTGAAGCAGCTAACATGCATTTAGCTTAACTCACGCATTTGTTATTCCATTCCAATAAGGCTCAACACTAGGTAAATCATTTGAAGCTCCACAAACTGTAATTGATTCATTAGACGAAGATACACCAGAACCGTCTGCATAAATGTCAGTTTAGGATTTCAAACATGCTGTCCTTCCATTTTCAATTTTTATGATGAACTAAATCACATAACGCCCTATTAATACAATTTAATATAATTTCGTATCAAAGATAATATTTTATATAAAGGTGCAAATCCTTATCAGATTTGCTTTATAAGAACATATATTTTACTTCTAACACGCGTTGTTAAATCTGAGAATTCAAACCTACTATCGTTCCATTGAATAAATAATATAACGCCCTATTGATATGTACAACTGTGAAAAGGATAAAAAATGCTGTAAGGATTCAAATGTTTTCTTAACGATTATCACATTATATATTTCAATATAACAAGCGTACTAAATACCATTTGTGTCCGGACTCTAGTTACAGGGATTATAACTGGTTTTGGGTGCCATTGGTGGGTCCGATGGTGGGCTCGTTCCTAGGCTGGGCTGTGTACGCCATCACAATCGAAAACCATTGGCCACCAGATGATGGAAATTTGAAGGAGGAGGTCATCACCGACCTTGATCGGGGGGCTAGCGAGAAACACGGCGACGGGTTCGACAATCACGGATACCATAAAGGTACATAACGTTATCTTACACTTCATCATTGGAATACGTTTTTTTGTTTTTTGTGATTTGTTGATCTTTTGAACTTTCAGTAGTTTATACCTGGTATATTACACGTGCATATCAATTATTTTGTTTAGATCTAAGATAAGTCAACAATTAAAGAAAGGTTGTGATGTGAAATTTAGAAAAAAAACTATACCATTGTAATATTTGCTATAATATATTTACGCATGTTAAGGTATTAAGAACGATTTAACATCGCAGTGTTAAGATAGCCTTATTACAATGTATACAGAGTATACATAGATGACATCTTTTTGTTCACAGTTTACCATGTGTCCCATTTTAAGAGAGTGAAACGCTAGCGGACATATTAGAAACAACTAACAATACAATTCTATTGCATTTTTTTTTGTTTAATATATCTCTTGAAACGACAGTGATTCGTCAAAAATAAAGCCATGTTTGGACATTTATTGAACATCACTATTAAGTTAAATAATGGAGGAATCCCTTTTATTACACTGATGAATATCTATTTCTTTTGTTATCTGTAATACATACATATATAGACACACTGTGTATCATATATATTAACGTGATTAATCATGTGATGTCGAGCACCTTACGTTAGCCACAGATTGACATGGACCGATGTAATCATGATAATGTATACCGCCGTTGAATTACTCTTAGTTCAGTATATCTTATCTTTAATACGAACGACTATACCCGTTGTTGACCTTGCAATGACCTTAGCTACTTTGGCCACTCTTTATGTAGAGTTAATCTGTCCGCACAGTGGTCAAGCGATAGAGTTGTAAGCGACAGAATACACCATGTTGACACATTGATTGTACAATTTGACTTATCAGATTACAGTGAGGTTTTGCCAATAACGTCTAATAAATCAACATTAACCGATGACAATTAAAGCTGAATATATGTGTCTCAGGTGGTTACCTTTTTGTAACTTAATCGTAGTTGTTAACAACGACCGACTTTATGAAATAACATATTACAACACCATTGAGAAAACGACAGTATAAACAAGCCATTGTTGTGGAAGCAAAATTCTTATTGAATGATAGAGTTACACAATTGAAAAACATCTAATATATAGCGAAAGTGCGGAAACGTAAGTTGTCTTACAGAGCGACCTGCGTTTTATTTTCCAAAACAAAGAATGGTTCTTTTACAAAAAAGGCAGTCTAGAACAATGTACAATTTAATTTTTGATTTTCAATCTAAACAAAGCAATTTTATGTTGACATTTGACCCAAATCCCTTCATATGTAGTTTGGGGATCTGTCAATGCTTTTACGTAACTTTTGTCCCGATGACATTTTCCCGATCCCCATCTCCTGCTCTAAAACCGCATGAATTATCAAACCCTAACAAAACATGAATTTAATTACTCTTTTATATACGCATACATGAATACAGTTTATATTAAAAACCGCTACCGGTATAAATGGTTATCGACTGTTTTTATTATTGACATGTAGTCAATCGTTTACAGATCCAATAGATCGCCGTGACCTCGTCTGCGTCGTGTCTTTAAATAAACACTGTAAGGTGAGGTTAAAAACCGGAATGCTCTGAAATGTGATTAGAGAATCAGTAATTTTCAGTTAAGCTGGAAATTCATATCTTCATAAATACTTGATGGTTCTTAATTCCGAAACCAAAACAGGAAAAATATTATTATATTAATAAAAGTTCGCGGAGAGAGTCGTGGTCAAAACGACCCACTATGAATATGAATGCCCCTGTTTTGTACGATATCAGTTGAAATGTAATACGTGTATTCAACTAAATGATTTTTCTTTGGATAAAATTCCTGGCAAGGATGATTTTCTTAATGTTATCAGTTGTATGCATACACAATTCGAATTCATTATAAAAGTTTCGACCAGGATGAATCAATGTCAAGTGAAAAATTTACCTATTTTATAATCTTTAAAATGACACTAACTGTATAAATAGGTCTTTGTCATTGCAACGTCGGTAGCCGGAATGAATAAACGTGTGTAAAACCTACTATACTCTCGGTTATGCATAAACAACAAAATTAAAGTGCATCTATACTAGCATCGAGCAAGATTTTAGAAATAAGCAGCATAACCAGCAAAAATTAAAGCCAACACCATTCAAAATAATAAAGTTACTGATTTTATAATTTGTATATTACCAATACCTAAACAATTTAGAGATATTACACAAAATGCATTAATATCAAGAACTTGCTGAAAAAGCAACAAAGCCAAAGAAAACAAACCTAGTTAATGATTATTAGAACGTTATCACTCGAAGTACTTGATACAAGTCCTTTGATTTCTTAAAAGTATGGTTACATGTCATTTATACATCATGCCATTGTATCTAAATAAAAAAAAAACATTTTTGGATTTCTGTTTTTTTGATATATCTGTGTAACTAACGGAAACAAATATATCACAACAAAACATAAATGGTGAGTTCATAGATGATTAAAGACTAATTGGTGTTGTCCTTAATTTGATATAGTTAGGGTGATATGTGCAGGGAAGGAACCAGGTACAACGCATAACTCTTAGCAATCATGGTACGAAAAAGAATGACACCAGGTCCAGCGACGGGGTTGTAGATTTTGAGAAAAGTTAACTTTTTTTCATTATTTATACTCTATAATTATTAAACATTTATAACATTATATTGTATAATCGCCCAACCTTAAACACTATTATTAGATCTCGAAAATAATAGTATTTACTATTTCTGTGTACAGTTGAGGGAGTTCAACAATATATATACTTAACCTACTAAATTGATATTTCCGACAACAAAGGTCTACTCCTAATGGAAACCAATAGGGGAAATACAGAAAACATCCGATATCTAGACCATCCCGCAATATTATCTTTAACGAAATTGTTTACATGTGTTTTTATCCTATCGGAAAACGTGTGCAGTGTTGAAATTAAGTGTTTATTAATGAAGCCTGTTTATGCTGGTAATATTCTGTTTATAGTTCTATTGCCATGGTCGGTTATTGTTTAATGTTAGTTGTTGGTTGTAAGGACATGATAGTCCTGCACAGATGCTTCCCCGTAAGGTAGTTCCGTATCGATAACGATAGTGATGCATTCACGGTTTTAAAACATTTTTTTAAATGATTTCCATCAAGTTAACTTAGACCTAATGCCAACTTTGTATTTAAACATAAACACATATACTGGTTCAGTCGTTATCCCCTGCTGGCATCATTGTGTATCAAACCTACTTTCATTAGGTCTATACCTAGACATTATAAGACACATGCATTCTGCCACCTTATTACCCCTAGGTGAACAAAACTGCATTCCCATTTGTAACAGTTTTAGCGTCTCAGCCTTTCAGTACGTTAATACTTTTTTAATACCAGTAGAAGATCAAATAAATGTCATAGTACCAGACGCGATTTCATTACTATGGACATGAAAGGAACACATAGGATCTGACTTAAATGTTTACACGACAAAAGCGTACATGTTTATGATGATTATATATATCGCAGTTGTATGAAGACATGAGCACTGTTTATATTTCATAAGAGAGCTTTTAAAGGGTTTGCCTGTTGCCCATTTACTTTTGTATATACGACCTATATAATAAATTATTCTGAAATGAAATAACACATGCCATTAAGAACGACGCATGCCCTACTACATATATTTGCGTAGTTGCAACGCTGAGACTAATGGGCCTTAGGTAATAATGATATGCGTTTAATTCTATATGATTTTAACATAACAATGGATGATACGATTTGATATATATTTCAGTATATTAGAAATGTGTGTTTTTTGTACAAATGATTAATACAAATTATAACAAACAATACCTTATTTTCAGATTCATTCGAAAATGGGATATTTACAACGACTTCAACACAGATGTGATGAAAAGCGTTCTGTAATAAATTGTATGAGTGTGCGCCATGTTTGTGCTTCATACGACGGCCCCGCACCTATGGATGAACAGGAACTGTTTCTGTACGTGGTATTAATCTGACATTAGAACAGCCAACTTTTGTCGGTAGTGTCCACACAATGTCCGTTTTACTATATATTTATGTGTGTCAGAGGAAGTGCCATGTATCTTTCAGATACCATATAATCTGTTATTTTCATTTTTGATATTTTGATACTACTCTATTTATGCCATTTAGCAACACTCTTGCTTTTGTCTTGTTTTTGTTGATCCCATTATGTGATCTTATCATTTCATTAATGGCTCAACAAGTGAATAAGTGCTAATCGCTGATTGCATTTTGGGAAAATCATATATCTGCTTATTTCTCATAAAAGTACATGTACATGATGTCAAGTAATATGTAACATGTATTGTCCACATTCAAGATTTTATAATGTCCATTAAAAATATAAAAGTAAAACATTGACCTGAAGAAGGATATTTTCAAACAATGTAATATTGTTGCGAACAGATAATGCAGAGGAAAATAGTATACCAATACAAAAATGGTATGAAGGGAAAGGTCAGAGTTTGTTTTGCTGAATTTAGAGAACTTTTAATTTCAAAATATCTTTATAATGTCATTTCTATTCTCAAAGAACAATATGTGTACAATAACAATCTTTTCTTTATTTTAAATCTTATCTGTTTGACGGGTGACATCCTTGTGGGTGCGATAGGGTGCAGCATGGGTCTTAGTGCTCTACTTATAATCTATGTTATAAACAATACTTGTTTAATATGTGTTTATGTCACATATAGGGTTTATTTAGCACAATTATAAAATATGTCTGGATATAAACAACTACTGGTCAGATTGTCTATTCTTCAAACTTGTTTTATTTCGTGTATGCAATGCAATAGTATAGAAAGAAATGGAACAGACAGTTTAAAGCAATTGTCTAAACACGAGCTTGATATACTATTAGCTGTGTATTTAAAATGTGCAAATGTAGCTTGCTTTTGTGTAGTGTAATGTTCATGCATGGATTAAAAAGACAAAACGTACAACGAGTTTCTTTGTAGGATCACGCATCCATACTGGACGATGGTGTATACATGTGCGTTCTTTACGTATATATATATATATATATGTTTATTAAATGTATTGATTAACTTCACTGATATTTTTCTTTTTTTTCTGCACACATAAACACGCATTATTTAATAGTCCTCAAAAAAGAGAGGAGGACACTTATTGACACTTTACTACCACAAAAATGTCTACTCCTATTTCACGATTGATAACGTTCCCATCCTTAATAAGAACAGATCGATCTCCCATGCCTATGGACTGTTCACGGTTGATGAAATGATGCAAGCAAAGATACGTTATGTTGACAATCAAACTTCTTAGCAATGTCATGTCTATAATCTTTGAATCTTGAGTCTGATTTGGGATATGCTATTATAGGCAATATGAACTAAATTCTATTGATGATATTTAACTATAGAATTGTTCACAGAATCTTAGATTTCCTTCCTGCATGTCACATACACTGTATATTAAATTAGCAGCCACATCTGGTGCAGGAAATATCTTCCCGAAACATCTCGTCTTTTTTTTTATAATTTTCATAAGTATTTTAATTTTCATTTATTTATATTTTGTGTGTGTGTTTGGAGGGGAGGGGGTTAGATGTTCTTAAGATGTTTCGGTTATTTTATTTTGTGAAAAACGATTTAGTAATTGTGTGTTGACGCTGCAATAGATATGTCGTTCCTCTAATCATCGTGGAATCAGGAAAAGGTCATTCAAACATGGATATAACGCTCAAATTTATAAGAAAATACTTAAAATTTAAACATCAAAGCTAATATCCGTTTATAATCTTCCGTCATATGATGTCAATCAAAGTACTGGTAAACAATGTAAACATAAGTTTTAAAAACACCTAACCAAACATTCTTTTTGAAATCCTTTTTTTAAATTTAAAAAAAAAAAACTGTGAAAGGATCGTAAAATCCTAATTTGTCAAAATATTTCTATATAGTTCACAACTTAACAGGTAAAAATAGACCACATAGTGTATACACAGCTGTGTATCTGTTAGGTTGTTTGAAGTACAAGGGAAATAACTGGTACAATTGTTGTGTAGGACATCATCCCAAATGTCAAACTTAGTCACATGGGCAATACATATGTTTATAAATATGTATATCAATATAATGTTTTCTGAAATTTTCTAAATCTTAGTACAACATCACCAGTTAAACCGACGTATCTTACTCGGGTTATAAGTCGTAATGAAAACCTTGTCAGAAAACCTTGTTAACACAATTCCTTAATCCAGAGGATGTATTAATCTTATTCAACTTTATAACTTAAACTGGCGTTTAGGCAACGAATCGACCGTTGCTCAATACGTAGGAAAACTAAAGAGAGGAAATTAAAAGGGAGTTGATTTAGTGATTGTACAATTAAAATGGTCATGTTTTCTTAAGCCTTGGAATTTAAAATTTACCTCTGTTTTTGAAGCAGTAGATTTCTAATACACTTGAGAGAGTATTCTCATTCCAAATCGATAAATTTAATCTATATCTTATTATTTTACAACACAATAATAAATAAATAGAAGAAAAACATCGCCACGCTGAATGAAGAGAACATCATCTTAACTCAAAGTCGATACGAACAGATTCTAGGTTTGGTCTTCTTGTTTGGCGGCTGACCTTTTATTTAAATAAAAGACTTATTTTTAAATATAGCATGTTTATAACGTGAAATTATATTGATGTTCATAAAAGACTTTTTGTACGAATTTGATTAATGAAGGACAGGACCTTTTAGTTAAAATGTAACTAAACAAACAAGCGGTCACGTTATAAAACATCCGTTTTAGCTTACATATATGTCCATATTCATAATTATCATTTTTTTTTAAAATTCTATTCCCGACAAGAGATTGGACAGGAGTGCACCACGTGTCCACCGATAAAAACCGATATTGACTTGGAGCGCGTGATTTTTTTTGAAGGACTGGGTGTTTCTAAAAATAGAATTATGACGTGTCTCCAAACGAACGCATCGTCCCGCTTCCGTAGATTTTTGCTGTGATTTTTTTTCAGATTGTTAACATTACTCTTTTGAAAATAATAAAACAATTGTAGCCTTTGACTTCGGTCGATACCTGGATTTATCGACACGAGAAAAGATATATTGACCACGGACTGCGTCCCTCTGTTAATATATCTTTTCTCGGGTTGATAAATCCAGGTATTGCCCTCAGCCAAAGGCTATAATTGAATACTGTTGCCATGCATAAGCATGATTTGTGTGACTTTTTAATCAATTTGATCATTAGAACAAGAAGCAGGGTATGAACTAAAAATCTGAATCTGAGAATGAAAACGGCTTCATAAGAGCGCAGCTCTTCTTGCGCCGAAGCGAAGGGGCAAGAAGCGAAGGTCTTTTCCGGTAACATGTACGAACAATTGAAGTCATGGTAACATCGAAATGCTATGCTTCCAAAATCCTTCCTCACGGAAGTAGCTAGTATGGAGTTACCGCGGTCCTATTTTTACAAGGCTGTTTAGTTTTGCTACACATTCTCAAAAATATCTCTTTATTTGATAATTGTTTTCTATGGTTATGTAAATTCATGACATTGAAAATTATAGAAACTGAAGCTTCTATCAAATTTTCAGTCTTTTCTTCTCTCCACCCAAACCGGAAGTTTATAGTAAATACCAAACCAGACGGAAATCCGGATAGTTTGGGCTATTGTGATTCTCTTTTTACACGATTTAGAGGGATCAGGCAAAGTATATCATGTCGGAAAATAACATTGGAATTTAATCACCAATATACTTTATTTTTATAATAACAGATAATAACAGTTATATTTGATAATCAATACATCTTCAAATATGAAGTCCCTCTACTTGGCCTCTCTCTTTCCGCAACATTACGATGAGGCCATAGACGGGGCAATTAAATGCAACAGTACCAAATGCATTTGTGTTTTATCTCGAACTGCATAATTCATTCGAATGCTTTTCTTTACTTATTATTAATTTTACATTTATAGCTATAAAGCGAATAAATAGATTGAAAAAAACCCAGCATTTAGACGCTTATCTCGTTTCAGGCAATGCCTGTTTTCAAAATGAATGATTTTGCCCAGCAACAGATTCAAGTATGTTATATAAAAAAAACAATTACAGGTAAATTTTGTATGTATTAAATGGGTAATGTTATGATTCAAAAAGTATACTATACTATCGAAACAAATATAAGAGCTTAGCTCTCTCCAGGCCATGCCTGAGTCATATTAAGGAGTCCGTTAACTGACATGCTTCACGATTATTTCATTTCATTTAAATATTTCGATTTTTTTCTTATGAGCATTTTTTTTTTTTTTCGAAAAAAACCGAAGCGCCTTCGGGGTTTGATCTGTAAGAATGTGGCGCATTGCACCTCTGTAATTTTAATTCAGCTTTTTTTAGCACAGTTTATGCACAGTTTCGTATTTATTTTCAGCACATGCTCGAATTTGTTTTAACTTCCTATCGCGGTAAAGTTGAAGCGGTGCAGTATATAGTCTTGGTTTTCTGTTGTATTTTATTCATATTACACTAATTGTGTAGGGTTTTATAGTATCAGCGACGTGCATAAAGGGTATTGGCAAGTACATTGATCTCCATTTTGCAATGCCATGTTATTAATCTGCTTCTGCGGCAACAGGAGGCCCACTGGAC